CTCTCTCTCTCTCTCTCTCTCTCTCTCCTTCCTTTCTCTTCCTTTTTGTTTCCGTCTCTGTTACACGCTCGCCGATGCTACATCCAATGCACACAGAAGCCACACGAGCCAGCGTAATACTCGCGTGCCACGTGTGGTCCACAATGCGAGTTCCCACAGTTGAGTGGCGTTCGGCCTATGTACGCACTACGTCGCCTGGTTAGACCTCGAAACCTTTGCTCTCTGCCATTCATCGTTAGAAATAAAAGGGTGAACATTGCCCACGTACGCTGTCGTTCATATGCGTACGAGGATTTCGGTCGATTCATAGCGAGAGCACGGGAATTTGTCAAAGTTAATGAGTTGGTAATTGCAGTAGTACTTATTTTTATCGGATTACATGTTACTCATTAAAGGACGTGGCAAGTAATATATTTTACTATTTATTATATTATATGTAATGGCTCACAGGAATATTTGAACATTTCTAGAACGCTTTTTACGAATATACAATGTGTATGCTATATGAAACATTTTCAGTCAAGTTTTACCATTTACTGTAATGAGAAAATATTCGTCTCGAACATTCTCATTTATGGATTTTTGAGTGTAACAGTCTTAAATGCTCCATCTTTGAATCAAATCAAATCAATATTTGTGCTTAGCGAAAGCAAAATGGACCAGTAACTAAATCAATTAGCCCAGACGAAACCGGACGAAATGAAACAAAACTTCAGCCCCCGAGAAAGATACGAAGAAATCAATCGGCCTAAGCTCTTTCGTCGCTCAACGTCGAAGAATCTAAAATAACAAGGAAGGAAAAGAAGATAAAGCGGAGAGACGAAAGTGAGACCGATGAAAAAAGCAAATGGGTAAAGAAGCACGAGTATACGAATGACAGAAATGGTCGAAGAACGAGCACACGCGAACCACGTATGCGGGAGAACGAAATTCGACTACGCACCATGAGCTATATATGCTTTTCTCTATGTGTGTGTGTGTATTCGTGCGTAGGGTTGGTGCTCACACGGGCCATGGATCACGAGGGCTCACACTCTCTATCCTGCTAAACGGTAAACCGATCTGTGAACATTTCAGCAGTCAGCGATCTCGAAGGCTAATCCTCGAGTGAGTGGGGTTGATACATCGACTACCACCACCACCACCACCACCGGGCCTCGCCTTCACCACCATCAGCATCGCCATCAACGTTTCCGTGCCGTCGAGTTTAGCCGATTGGAGGGACCGAATTCGCGATTCGTGTGTCGGACTCGCGTGTACGACGCGCCCGTACACGTGTTACCACTCCAGAGAGATTCATATGGAGGCTCGCTCTGTATGTGCATGGGGCACACGAGCCTGTTGGTGTGTGTGTGTGTGTGTGTCGGACAGACGACGAAAGGGGAGCCGACCCTATGAACCTGTTTTCTGTCTTCTGGAAAATACTATGAATGTTCTAACACGGGCATGTGTACATAGAAGATCGGAAGATCTTTGTGTGTTTAGAAAGGTTAGAAGATACGGTTGATTGAAAACGAGTGATTAGGTATTAAGATGACCTATGTATATTCTTATACGTTTCTTTTAGTAATTGTTCAATTTCGTCAGTATTGACGTATTTCTTTATGCTGAATATTATAAATGTATATACATCAA